CGAGCCCCGCATCGGGCTCCCTGCTCAGCGGGGAGTCTGCCTCTCCCTCTCCCACTCCCCCTGCTTGTGTTCCCTCTCTCACTGTGTCTCTCTCTGTCAAATAAATAAAATCTTAAAAATAAATAAATAAATAAATAAAAACCGTGGTAAAATCTACATAACACAGAATGTACCATTTTAATCATTGTCCAGTATACAGTTGAGTGGTGCTAAGCACATTCACGTTGTTGGGCAGCCCTCACCACCATCCATCTCTGGAACTATTTTCATCTTCCCAAACTGAAGCTCTAGACCCATTAAACATCACTCCCTCCTTCCCTTCCCCAGCCCCTGGGAACCACCTTTCCACCTTCTGTCTCTACAGTGTGACTGCTCTGGGGACCCCACATAGGAGGACTCACACAGCGGTTGTCCTTTGGCGTGGCAGACGCTTTGGCAGCAAGATTGCTAGAGGACGTACCACGATTCTTTCCTCCACGGCATTTGTTTTGCTAATATGGCACATTAGCCAGAAAGAATGTCTTTTTTTTTTTTTTTTGGTCTAGTGTCAGACTATTAATTATCCAGATGCTCACAGGCCAGAACACTGAGTGTAGACAAGCCTCTCTTTCTGCCACCTAATGACACAAGTGTAACACACCAGCCACATCTGCAATGCCTCTGAGGGCAGGAAGGTGCCTATTCTTTACCCTAAAGTAACCTATCCTCACGGACACCAGCACCTTGCAGGCCCTGCCCTGCAAAGCAGATATTTTCTAACGTTTTGTTTTACGCTGAATGCTGTTCGTTCCTCTTGCCCTCCAAGTAATTACTTGACTTGTGGACATCAGCAAAAAGAAAAGAGAGAGGAGAGGAGAGGAGAGGAGAGGAGGGCAGGGGAGAGGAGAGGAGGGCAGGGGAGAGGAGAGGAGGGCAGGGGAGAGGAGAGGAGGGCAGGGGAGGGAAGGGGAGGGGAGAAGAGAAAAAAGAGAGGAAAGAAAAGGAAAGGAAGAAAAGAGAAGACAAGAGAAGAGAAGAAAATAAAAGAAAAGATGAGAAAAGAAAAAGAGCTTCTGGAGAAAGACGTAGGCATTTTCATGTTCCACCCCTGACAGTCCCAAAGACCCCCTCTCATCCACTGGCCTGTGTGTCGTCGTCGTCGTTGTTGTTGTTGTTTTGGTTTGGTTTTTTTTGTTTTAAAGAACTCTGTGATCTGCTTCAATTCATGTTTTGCCAAGAAAGCTAACACAGCTGCAAATCCTTTCTGCCCGGAATGCCTTCCAGCCTTCCCAGAGGCCTCTCCGCTCGTTCGGTGGCCACTTCCCTCCCTCCCGGGCTGGCCAGCCTCTCCCAGCCCACTGCCCCCCCCCCCCACTCCCCCCGCCCCGCCGTCCACCGGCTCCTGCGAGAAGGCACCACTCGGAGTGGCCGTGCCTTCTCTGTGGGTTTCCATTTCTTACTGGGAGAAGCGCAGGCCCCCTCGGGCACCCCAGCCCCCCTCCGTAGGCTTCCCCCTCAGAAAACTGGCTCTGCTGCCCGCTGGTAAACGGGCTGGCTGTCACCATGACAACAGCCTGGCCCAGAGCCTGGATGACGCCAGGCCTGACTCCCCTCCCAGCCTCACCCAAATCTGTTTGTTCAAGTTCCAGCTGCATTTGTTGGGCTTCGTTTTGCTTGTCAGTTTGAGGCAGCTCCGCTGCTGATTGGCTGCCAGGGACTGGGCTTAGACTCCCTGGGATACCGACCGGGAAGTCAGCTCCCTGCCCGGGCAGGAATTTCCTGACGCCCTGGGGTATTTCCCCATCACAGGAAGGAGAGCTACAAGAGCCTTTCAGGCGAGGCAGAGCCCATAGGAAGCCAAGGCATCAGATCATCCCTGAGTGCTTTGATCCCTCTGGCGACATCAGACTTCAAGCAACGACGCTCTAACTAACCCACCTTGGCTCCGTGACGCTACACTCTTGACTAAGCCAGCTTGTTGTTTGATAAAACTAAAGAAGCAATGCACCATGTTGACAGAACAGTGCAGCTGTGCATTAACATCAAAATAAATAAAACCAGGGGCACCTGGGTGGCTCAGTCCATTCAGCGTCTGCCTTCAGCTCAGGTCATGATCCCAGCATCCTGGGATCGAGTCCTGGCGTCTGGCTCCCGGCTCAGCGGGAAGCCTGCTTCTCCCTCTCCCTCTGCTGCTCCCCTCTGCTTGCTGTCTCTCCTGCTCTCTCTCACTCAAATAAATAAAATCGTTAATGGGACGCCTGGGTGGCTCAGTCGGTTAAGCGTCTGCCTTCGGCTCAGGTCCTGATCCCAGGGTCCTGGGATCGAGTCCTTCATCGGGCTCCCTGCTCTGCGGGGAGCCTGCTTCTCCCTCTGCCTGTCTCTCTCTCTGTCTCTCATGAATAAATAAATAAAATCTTAAAAAAAAAAATAAAATAAAATCGTTAAAAACAGTAAATAAATAAATAAATAAATAAATAAATAAAACCAGGAAGAAGAAGAAACATGTGGATTTTTGAGGAACAGTTTAAGTGAATGTAGCAATAAACATCCAAGTGAATTTTCACCTCAACATTCGGGGTGGTTTTGCTTCTGTTATTTGGATAACTGTAGAAGCAGGAATCTGGAGCATCGTTTGTGACCAATTTGAAAACACACTGTCTTGCCTTTTGTCATATCATCAGGTTTTTCTCTCCCAAATAACTCATTTTGGGAATTTGCTTGGCCTCTAGGGCTCCTGAGTTTACCCCAGATTCTCTGATTTGCGATATACAAGGGGCTTCTTGAATGTCACCCTTTGAAGCTGTGTCAGGAGCCCAGCTCCTCATCTATAAAATGGGAGTAAATTATGCCAACCAGCCCGGCTGTAGAGTACTTAGCTTAGTCTTGGCACTTACCGAGCTACTATCATCATCAACTCCTACCAATGCCTGTTTTCTGAGGATCCTGACACTCTTTATAAAAATTACATCATTGATTCAACAAATATGTATTTAATAAATATTTACTAAGCCCCAATTGGCCAGGCACTCTGCTAGCCACAAGTGATAAAGTGATAGAAACAGACACAGTTCCAGCCCTTGGTAGCTTCTGGACTAGTGAGGGCGACAGGCACAAAAATAACCACACAAAATGTAAAATTACATCTGTGTCCTCTGAGTAAAGCCATCTTAGACCCTCCAGACCAGCCTATCTCCCAGCTGAATAACACAGAGGACATCAGCCTTTGCCATATTGAGCAGAAGAATTTCCTGGCCAATGCCTGTCTTAATTCCTAACTCACAAAATCATGAGATATAATAAACTGGTTGCTGTTTTAAGCACTGCTCTCCCAAAAAATAAATTATCTGTATTAAGTGCCTACAGCATTAAAAGAACATGAAATGGAGGAACTAAACTGCATTTTACCCACTTTTCCTAGTTATAATACAAGAGTTAATGTAAGAATTTAGAATGATTTGGTCACCTAAATCCCAGAGTTTAGAGCAAAGCCCAGAGATGGAAATTCTCAATGCGCAATCCTGCAGAAAGATCCCGGTGGTTCCTTATACCAAATCTTGTTTCACTGAACAGCGCCCTCTCCTGGCCAGGGTCCCTTTCTCCAGTCAGCTATTTGCTCCTTGGGGCTTTAAAGGGATTTATTTGTAGACCAGGATGTCCACTCCTTCATCAAAGGTGTGCTGAGCACCCAGGCCCCCACAGGCTCCCCACTCTTATGGAACTGACAGTCATTTGAACTTCCTGACATTCCTGAGAGTGTAGGGCAAACTTCAGAACTCCTACCTGATGGATAAGATCTTAACTGAGGAAAAAAAAAAAGATCTTTTTTTTTTTAAAGATTTATTTATTTATTTGAGAGAGAACTCATGAGAGGGGATAGGGTCAGAGGACAAAGCAGACTCCCTGCCGAGCAGGGAGCCCGATGCGGGACTCGATCCAGGGACTCCAGGATCATGACCTGAGCCGAAGGCAGTCGCTTAACCAACTGAGCCACCCAGGCGCCCAAAAAAAAAAAGATCTTAACTGAGTTAGGGACGACAGATAAAACTTTGTTACGTTATTGATAATTTGGGACCAGATTTTAGGGCACAAGGAAACAAAAAACCGCCCCTGAGCATGAGATTGGTCCCAAATTCCTCATTATTCGTAGCCACACCCTGCCTCATCACCCTCTACTTCTTAACCTTGAGTTCCCTCCTGCTTGGGAAATCTCCCCATGGTCCCCTGAACCAAGGGCCCCCACCTCTCCATCTCTGTGGCCTCGGGTGCCTTTTCCAGCCATTTCATCTCTGCAATGATTTCTCCAAAGCCAGCCTCCATTCTCCCTCTTCCCAAAGACCCTACAGCCTTCCCTGAACATCTTGTCCCTTAGTATCCCTGCTACCGTAATGTACATTTGGGAACAGATATCCAGGCAGGTACTTCGATGTACATCCTGTCACATTAAGGGCACAGTCTTTGGAGGGATCAGACTGACCTGGAGTTCAAATCCCAGATCTGCCACCCACTAGGCTGTGTTGTGAGGAAAGTCACGTCACCTTCTCACTCTGATTTTCTTGGGGGCACAACATGGGCAGTAACACCTACCTAACAAGGTTGTTCTGAAACTTAAACAATATGTTTCAAGCACCTGGCACAGAGTAAACACTCAGTATTTTGTATAAGCCCTTTAATGTGTCCAATCTGGGCACCTGCGTTAAAAGCAATCTGGCCCTCCAGGCGTGTCCTACAGCCTTGGGCGTGTGGGTAAAGAGATAGAACCCGGGCACTGCGCAGAGAACAGGGCTGATACAAACAGCCTGGTGCCTAAGGCCCACAATATTTTCACAAATCCACAGAAATAGTTTAATTTCTTTTGAAAATCAGAAGAAAAAAATTAACTTTTACATCGAAAAATGACAATATAGGGACGCCAATTAAGCGTCTGCCTTCAGCTCAGGTCATGATCCCGGGGTCCTGGGATCAAGCCCCGCATCAGGCTCCCTGCTCGGCGGGAAGCCTGCTTCTCCCTCTCCCGCTCCCCCTGCTCGTGTTCCCTCTCTTGCTGTGTCTCTCTCTGTCAAATAAATAAATAAAATCTTTTAAAAAAATAAAAAATAAAAATGACAATATATTATATATGTTAACATATTTATCTTTATACCAAAACAATCATAAAATACAATTTTCAATTAATTTTTATAGAGGAAGGAGCCCACAGAGGCCAAAACGCCTAGGCTTCATGCAAGTCATTATACATCCCTGATGAAGAAAGGCCTCTGCTATTTAAAAAAAAAAAAAAAGGGAAAGCAAACAGTGGTGAAAGAAGGAAGTTGTTCACTAGCTGAGTGTCAGGGTCCCTCCCAGCCCTAACATCCTTCAGTTCAGGGCATTCCTTTTGCCTCAGCATGGCAGGATCCTTTACAGAGTGCTTTCTTTCTTTCTCTTTTTTTTTTTTTTAAGATTTATTTATTTATTTGAGAGAGAGAGAGCATGAGCGGGAGGGGCAGAGAGAGAGGGAGAGAATCTCCAGCGGACTCCGGACTGAGCTAGGAGCCCCACCTGGGGCTCGATCCCCTGACCCTGAGATCAGGACCTGAGCCGAAACCAAGAGTCGGTCACGCCACCCAGGTGCCCCCAGAGTGCATTCTTAAGAATACATTTCCTAATACTTTCAGAATCTGTGTGCCATCTGCTTTTAGCAGAAGATTTTGTCCCCCAAGAATTTGGTGTAACTTAACAAAATCCCTGTAGGCGCTCTTTATCTACTTGGTCAAGGATTGCCATGCCCTTCAGTGGCCGACAGAGGGCGAAGCGACCCAACCTTAAGGGTGAGCATCCCAGTGACGCCGGGAATAGAAAGCCTCCCTGTTCAACCACAGGCGCCTGACCTGGGAGCTTGCTAGAGATG